TTTTTCACTTATGGATAATGCTTTTTGTGTTCTAAGAAATCTGCCTAACCCAAGGGCACAAATCTTTTATGTTTTCTTGTGAAAGTTTTATATGTCTAGCTCGGTGTTTTTGTAATAACTTTATTGTGGTATGATTCACATACCATAAACTCACCCACTGAAATCGCACAGTTCAGTGGTTCGTAGTATGTTCAGAGTTGTGCAACCATCACCACAGTCAATTTTAGAGCGTTTTCATCACGTCGGAAGAAACCCCGTGCCATTTAGCCATCATCCTCCAAACCACCCATTGCCTTCCATCCTTAGGTAGCGGCTAATCTGCTTTCTGTCTCAATAGATCTGCCTATTCTGGACATTTCATGTAAGTGAAATCACGTGTTTTCAAGGTTTATCCATGTTGTAGAATGTATCAGCCAAATAACCTTCCACCGTAGGATATGCCACATTTAATTTTTGTCTCCTTCAGTTGATGGACTTTGATTGTCTACTTATTGGCTATTATGAATAATGCTGTCGTGAGCATTTATGTGCAAGTTTTTGTGTGGATACGTGTTTTCATTTCTCTTGGATATATACTTAGGAGTGGAATTGCTGGGTCACATGGCAACTCTTGTGTCTAGCCTTTTGAGGAACAGCCAGACTATTTTCCGAAGTGGCTGCTCCATAGTTTTCATCTGACGTTTAGGTCTGTGATCAGCTGAGTTGATGTCTGGAACTGTGTGACAGGGTCGAGGTGTTTTGTTGTGTTTTGTTTTCCATGTTGTTTCAGTAACCTATTTTAAAAGGAACTTCCTTTCCCCATCGAAGTGCCTTGGCGTTATTGTTGAAAATCATGAACATATATGTGTGGTTTTATTTTTGTACTCTTGTTCTGTTCCATGGATGCTATGTCTGAACATTTCAATATTTACATCTTTTTGAGTTTGGCCTCTTGGTTAGTGTCTTTTCCCTTGAAAATGGGTCAGATCCTCCTGGTTCTTCACATAATGAGTAATTTTTCTTTTCTTTTCTTTTTTTTTGTGATGAGTAATTTTCAGTTGTGTCCTGGATGTTGTGAGTGTTACACTATGTAGACTCTGGGTCCTGTGACATTCCTCTGAGGACCGTTGATGTTTTTGTTTTATCTGGCAGTGCACTGTAAGCTGTGCCCTTCTGTGGGTTGTACTTCAAGTGTCAGTGCAGTTCTTTCAGCCTTTGCTGTGCTACTTTGAGTTTGTCCTGCATACATGTCATTCAGGGAGGGATCAGCGGAGATATGTGTGGTGTTAGTTCAGTGACAGAGTTAAGGGACCCTCCTCTCTGCTTATCTGTCCGCTGGAATTCTCCACTCTTCTGGTGGCAGCCATGGTTGCCCAGAACCCCTTCTCTTTGTCCTCCAGCCAGAAAGATGCCAGGGCTCCTAGCGGAGTCTTAGTTGCGGTAGCCAGAAGTTAGGCTACTTTGTGACCGAACCCCACCATCAGGGCAAAGCCCCCAAAGCAGGAAACTGCCCCATTCTCCACATTTTGAATCCCCTCTACAACCTGCTTGCTTTTAGTATGCTGTTCAGAATCCTTAGGTAATTGGTTTTTGTCTTTTGTCCAGAATTTGTAGCTGTTTTCACTGGGACAGTTGGTCTATAGGGAGCGTATACAATAAAACCCGAATAAAATCTTCAGTTTTACCCGTTTTTTCTTTATGTATAATAAAGCTATTATGTGTTCTTGATGAACTGACCCCTTTAACATTATGAAATATCTCTCTTTATCCCTTGTAATATTCTTTGTTCTGGAGTCTTTCTCTGATATTAACATAGAGCCATTAATAGCCACTTCAGCTTTCTCTTGATTGTTGTTTTCATTGGATAGCTTTTCCATGCTTTACTTTTAACCTATCTATTATATATAGTTACACTTAAAGTGGGTTTCTTATAAATGTAATAGCATAGATTTATGTCTTGATTTGTATCCAGTCTGGCAATCTCAGTCTTTTATTTGGAGTGTGTACATTAAATGTGTCCTTACATTTAGTATAAATATTGATATAGTTAGGGTTAAATCTACCATCTTATTC